ATCCGATTTTTAAACCATTGCTCCAGACCAAATCGGTGCTTTGATGGTATAGGTCCTCACGCAATTCACCCCCTAAACCCCTCTAGTAGGGTCATTTATTTATTTAAAAATTTATCAGAATACTTTTTTAAGTCCTTTCTAAATCGCAGATTATCCACCCATAAACCCCTATTTTTAAATTTTATATGTTTTATTTATTTTTAATATTGTTTTAGAACAACCGAACCAAATAGCCGACCTAGCGACATGAACGACGCACTCACCGACCCTGGTTCAAAAACAGGTAAAAAGTTTGGGATGGATCAATCAATCAGTTATTAATTCAATAAATTTTATAGAAAGTTCGTCGAGGAAATAACATTTCGTGTAAACAAGAGGGTGAAAATCGTCAATTCTTTTTCATTTTCTTTCCCCTCTTCGCCGATGGCTTCCTCGTGAGCCTCCTTGTTCACAGCCATGGAAGCCATGGCCTCCTTTCTCTCTCTAGGGTTCACGTTTGAGTATAAACGCCCTTCTGGTTTCTCTCTCTAGACGTTACAAAAAGCAGTTTTCCCTGAAGCATACGCTTTGGTCTTTTCCTATACCGATCTTTGCCTCCATTGCCTTCTCTCTCTTCACCAACTCTTTCTCTCTCTAGAATTTCATTTTGGGCGGAAAAGGTCCTTATTCAATTCCAGAGGGTGTGATACTTGGCAAGGTTGGTTTCAGAGAACCAAAGCTTTGGACCACCCGCTTTTGGTTGCCTTGACTTTCTCCCTCTTCTCACTTTCTCTCTCTAGAGTTTGGACTCTGATGGTGAGAGAAACCCTTAATGTACATCTATTGTTTTTTACTGGAGGGATTTTGGGAAGGTGGGTTTCACGAAAACACAGCTTTGTGACTTCTGCTTGTGGCTGTGATGGCGTTTCTCTCTCTAAAATCGGGTCCCTCAAAGAGAGATTAACCACTTGTGGAGTTCTGGGTTTTCTTAGCGGGAAATAATTGCAGGGTGGGCCTCACATAAGCTGCGGTCTGGGCATCGTCTTCTTCGCGCTGGGTGTCTTTTCACTTTCTCTCTCTAGATTTGGGGCTTTCAGGCGCCATTGTGTTTACCTTTTTTATCTCTGGAATTTGGGCTCTCTGTAAGTGCTTCGTTTGTAGTTCTGAGTTCTTTCTACCCATTTGGGCGCTCTGTGAGCAAGCATTACTGAGATTGGTTTCACGAAACTACCTCCTCCTCAAAACATTTCTCAGTTGGATTTAATAAAACCACCACTGACGGCCTCCTGAAAACATTTCTCAGTTGGATTTAACAAAACCACCACTGACAGCCTCCTGAAAACATTTTTGAGTTGGGTTTTCACAAAACCACCATTGGCATCCCCCTGAAAACATTTATCAGGTGGCTTTTCGCAAAACCACCACTGGCATCCTCCTGCTTGTGCCCATATTCTTCCTTTCTCTGCCCGGAAATTTTCTCGATTCTCTCTCTATAATTTGGGCTCTGAAAGAGATAAAAGCCCCTGTGTACTGCCTGGTTTCTCCACCCTGAAAATATTGGTAGTGTGGGTTTCATAGAACCAAGCTTTGGGTCTCTTCCCCTTTCTCTCGCTAGAATTTGGACCTTGCAAGCGAGAGAAGCCCCTTTCGTTCTTCTGGATTTTCCAGCTGGCGAGATGTAGGGAAGGTGGGTCTCAGAAAGCCACAGCTCTGAGCCTTCATCTGCTCGCTTCGGCCATTGAATGTCTCGCTCTTCTCCCTCTCTCTCTATAGTTTGGCTCTGAAATGCAGTGATGCCCCTCTAATTCTCAAAAATGATAGGTGGGCGGGTTTCTGAGAACCACATCTCTAGGCCTCCCTCCATGACAGCCTCCCCTTCTCTCTCAAGACTTCATGAAACAGCACGAGAGAGAGATAACCCTCTCTAGCCATTCTGTTCTTTTTCATTACATCAAATATCAGGTAGAGAAAGAAACCCCACAAAAGAAAGATATATAAAGAGGGGCAATCCCCTCATGCAATTTTAGTTTTTCTTTTCACTTGATCAAAGATGTCAGGTATAGAAAGGAAGCTCGTGGACTGGAACGAGGAATTCGTATCACAAGAGAGAGGTGGAAGAATAGTCCATTATTATGTGAGAGATGATTCGGGGAACTCGGTTCTGGCAGTGGTGGGAACCGAGAGGAGTGTTCGTCACATGGTTTATGTTGTTGCAGAGGGATTCATGGAGTCTGAATGGTTTCAAAGGCCCCCGACGAGTAGCAGTAGCAGTGGCAATGGCTCCTCTTTCAAGTGGAGGTCGAAGAGAGAGGTGGTTGATTGGCTGTCTTCCTTGCTTTCTGATGGCAACCGCACATTGAGTAATCTCTTTCTCTCTCCCTCCCTCTCTCTCTCTTTCTCTCTCCCTCAAAAGAATCGATCTGACTGCGTTTTCTTCTCATAATAAAAAGGGGACCCCGGTAATGAACAAGAGAAGTTGCTTATCTCTGTCTCATTCACTCATTTCCTAGAAGGGTGCGGTTTGTATAGAGCCTAGGCTCTAAACAATCAAATTAGAGCCTACTTTCAAGTAGTGTCGAGAAATGTGGTTTCAATACTGGAAATCTTTGTGGTAACCTTAAAATATATTTTCATCTTAAATATATTTTCATATTTATTTATAAAGTTTAAAGCGTCAAAAATAGTATAGATTGACAGATCTATGAAAATTTGAAAATTGACGGTAAAAAATTGTATTGCAAAATGCACTATTTCTAAAACTTGAAATCCATTTTTTCTCATGGCCATGCATCTTGATGTCGAGATGATCAATTTGAAGATGTTTGGGCATCAAAACAACCTCTTCTACTGAAATTTTTGAGGTAGGCTCAAATTTGATTGTTTAGAGCCTCGGCTCTATATAAACTTTTCCTATAATCAGCATTTTTTTGTTTACTAGTTATTTAAAGTTTCACTATTCATTCTGGTTGATGTATTTCCTTATGCTCTCCTTCAGTTCCCATAGTATAATTGTAATGTGTTTATTTGCATTTTCTCAAAAACTTACATTTTTCATTTGTGAGTTTTCTTTGATCACGCATCAAAACTTCCCCAGTGGTTGTTGGCTTCTTGCCACTTCAGGTTGCAAAATATTGATTTGAGCGATTCATTATGGGAATGGGGTTTAGAGAAAAATATATCGGTGGGTTTTTAGTAATTTCTTTAGGAGCTGCTGTTGTGATTTTGTGTTGATCAGTTTTACTCGTCTGCCAAAAGTATAGTTCACGCTTTTGCTCTTTGGAGGAGGGTGGGCCTGAATTTGAGCTTGCAAACAGCCCTTTTTAGCTTTCTTTGCATGAATGGACTAATGCACGTTACCACCATTAATGCATTTGTTTACATCAGAGGCTTTTTATTAATGTTTGCTTAGGTAGAATAAGTTCTAGGATGTATTGCATTTGATCAGTCCTTGTTGGCACTTTCTGTTTATCTGTTAAAAAATCTATGTCATGATATCTACTAACTCAAGCAAATGACTGATCCATTCATTTTCACAAATATTAAGGGCCAATTGGTGTTTGATGATGGCATTGGGCTTGGTGAAAGATAGTAAACCTTTGGTAAATGAGTCCTTTATTTTGGGATGGAAGATGGAAAAAAAGGCTGATGTTTCATCCTTTTGCCCATATTTTCTATCCCAGCTTGAAAGCTTTTGACAACCAAGATTTAAGTTTATCATGGTACAGTACTTTAAGTTTATCATGGTACCGTACAATACTTTAATAGTTAGAAATTATTGATTCTCTTTCATTGGGAGTATTCTTCAAAGAGATAAACAACGGGTGTGTATTTGGAGAGATGGCATTGACTTCTCTATCAATCTAAGATATGAGGGAGTCGCATATTGGAATTTCCATAATATTTATGGTTTTTGGAAGAGTGTACACCTTAAGAAAGTGTCTGGCAAACATGCTGAATATGAGAGAAGCTTGTTTCATAACAAAAGATTAGGAAAAGAGCCTGGGCATAATTGGTTAGCACTTGACGACGATTTTCAACATTACGTCTTAGGCTCCATTCCTACCGAGGGCAGGGGCCCTCTCCCCACTGACTCACCCCAAAAAACAAACAAAAAGAAAAAAGAAAAAAATATTAGGAGAGCTGTGTTCCTCTCAAGTTAGCTTTTCTCTTCTTGCTTGCTATTTGGGAGTTACTTGTTGGAGCCTGTTACTATGATATTATTTTGGGAAAATTACAAAAAAACCCCCAAAATGTACTATTTACGCAACTTACCCCCAGCCAACCTTTCCTTTCACTTTTTCCCCACAACAACTTTTCTTCGCAAAAAACCCCCTAAGGTAAAAAGTTATTATTATTTGGACGGAAATACCCTTCCTATACAAAAAAATTCAAGTGGTGGTCCCAAGTTTTGTATTGCCGGAGCATAGAATAACACTGTCGGAGCGCTTTGTAATGATTGCCGGATCGAAATAGGTACTGCCGGAGTGCTGTTGCTCTAGAAGGTGTACCGTTAAAGTGCCTTCATTTACCACTGGAGCGCTGAAAACCTTGCCGAAGCACCCTATTGCACTGCTGGAGCGCTGTGGCTCCAGCGACCCCACTGCCGGAGCGCATTCATAGAGTGCCAGAGTGAAAGGTCTCCAAAAGGTGTACTGCCGGAGCGAGATCACGTTATGCCAGAGCAAATTCGTCTACTGTCGGAGCAAATTACCACGCTTTCGGAGCGCTGTAGAAGGTGTACTGCCGGAGCGAATGTCAGTATAGCCGGAGCGCGTTTTTGTACCACTGGAGTGACGTAATCAACGGCCGGAGTGCTCTGGCTCCAAAAGGTCTACTGCCGGAGCAAGTTTTTGTATCGTCTGAGTGCGTTGCCTTTGTTGCCGAAGAGAGAGAGAGAGAGAGAGAGAGAGAGAGAGAGAGAGAGAGAGAGAGAGAGTAGTAAGTAGTTAGTTAGTTTAGTTTGTTTGGTTTGGTTGGTTGTTGTAGTAGTAGTAGTAGTAGTAAGGTAAGAGAGAGAGTAGTAGTAGGTAGGTA